CCTGTATTAGTAGAGCCTAAATTGTAGTCTCTATATGTGTAATATGGTTATGTATGTCGGGCATGGCCCATCATGTAGATTGGGCAGGGCCCATTATGTAGTTTGGGCGGGGCCCGTTTATATATAGGTTGGGCAGGGCCTATTGTGTAGTTTCGGCGGGGCCCTTTTATATGCTTATTGGGGGGGGGGGGGGCGATATATGTATTATGGTATATGGTATTTTGGGGAGCTCACTAAGCCTCATGCTTACCCAGTTGATTATTAAGGGTTTTCAAGTGCTTCAATGATTCGTGAGAAGGGCAAGGTTCGACTGTATACATGTGCATTCGTAACATGTTTCCGCATAATGTAATTATACTCTGATATATTGAATAAACAAATATGAAAAATTTATGTTGAAAATAGGGATGTTACACAAGGTCTAGGGTTGTGAGGTTCTCGTTAGACCTGAGAACCAAGTTAAACTGGAATCCAAAGCCAAAAGTGTATAATGATTGGTTATCCACAAAAGTCATTTGGTTGCTTGTTCTACAGACCCAATAAGAATGTCGTCTTTGTAGCTCAAAGTGGAATCTTTCGAGAAAGAGAACTAATTTCCAAAGAGGACAGTGGGAGTGAAATTGATCTTGAAAAAATTCAAGAGTAAACCAATGAGGAAATTTTACTTGACACTAGCACTCCACTTGAGGTTGAAACACCTGTTGTTCCAGTTAAAAATTCATTTCCTCTTCGCATATCTAGTAGATTTAGCATGCCTCCTGAGTTCTATGGTTTTCTTATTACTTCATATGGGTACACATTTATTATTGATAAAACACTTGTAAATTTGGATGAACTAGCTAACTACAAAGAGGAGGTGGCAGACCCTAAGGTTGCCCAATGGAAAGAGGCAATGAATATCAAGATTTAGTCTATATACTATAACCAAGTTTGGAATTTGGTTGATCATACACCCATGCTGAATACCGTGGGTTGTAAATGGATCTTCAAGAAGAAGATCGATATGGATGGGAATATAACCATGTTTAAAGCTAGGCTGGTGGCGAAGCAATATAATCAAACCTAAGGGATTGATTATGATTAAACCATATCACCATTATCTAACATCAAGTTTGTTAGTATAATGCTTTCCATAGCTGCCTTTTATGATTATGAGGTATGACAAATAGATGTTAAAACTAGTTTCCTTAACCAAAAACTTACTGAGAAAGTGTATAAGACTCAACCAGATGGCTTTGAACATGCCAAGTATCCTAATAAGGTGTACAAGCTTGAAAATTCAATCTATGGACTTAAACAACCGTCTCATAGTCGAAATCTTTGTTTAAATGAAAAATGTGAAAGGGTTTGGATTTTCTAGAAGTGGAGATGAGCCTTACGTGTATTTCAAAGCTATTGGGAGTGTCGTAACCTTTCTAGTGTTGTATGTGGATGACATACTACCTACAGGAAACGATATCCGAACTTTGCAAGAAGTGAAATCTTAGCTTGGGAAATGTTTTTCTATGAAGAATATAGGAGAGGAAATATATATACTTGGAATAAGGATACATATATATATATATATATATATATATATATATATATATATATATATATATATATATATATATCAAAACGTCTAACAATACTTAGCCAGAGTACTTACTTCGATAAAATAATGAAGATGTTATATGGAAAACTTCAAGAAAAGGGAAATGCTCGTGCATCATACTGTAAAGTTGAGTAACACTCAATGTCCTAATAGTAATGATGAAATAGAGAGAATGATTCGAGTCCCATACTCTTCGGCTATTATGACGTGTACTCTTCCTGATGTCTCATATGCTTTGACCATGGTGAGTAGATATCAAGACAGTCCCAGCGAAAGTTATTGGATAGCAGTAAAGAATATTCTTATGTATATGAGAAATATAAAAGTCATGTTCTTGGTTTAGGTGGCGAAGATGAACTTAGAGTAAGTAGGTATAGTGATGCCAGTTCCAAATAGATAGAGAAGAGAGTTTTTCATAATCCGGTTGATTATTCTTGTTGAATGGTGGTGCAATGACCTAGAAAAGTTCCAAGTAGAAGACAGTGGTAGACTCTACATGTAAGTCTGAGTATATTTCAGTTAGTAAAGAGTAAAAAGAAGCAACATGCTTAAAGAATTTCATTGGTGATCATGGAGTTGTTCCATCAATCCAAGAACCCATAGAAATCTTTTGCGATAACGAAGGTGCAGTCGTATTAACTAAAAAACCTAAGGATCGTGGGAGGTCAACTCACAGACTCGGGAAATACTATTGTGTCAGATATAGCGTGGACGGAAGAGACATTGTAGTGAATAGGGTATCATCAAAAGATAATTCAATTGATCCTTTCATAAAGGCGTTGAGTAAAAATCAAGAACTGCGAGCATGCGAAAAGCATATGCATGAGAGATGATATTAGTTTTAGTAGTTAGTTGCTATTTTGAAACAATGTGACAACAATAAATTGTAGTTTATCTTGGTGACTAAATAATAGAGACTTGTTTAGGAGTTAGTGAACTACCATCTTCAATTTTTTATTATCGTGTTTCAGTTTGCATGTTCAGAATCCACTTCTGAGTATTACGGTACTTAGAATTCCATAGTCGGACATAATCTTAGGAGTATAAAGTCTTGCGTTTGCCATTTATAAATTATTTTACTAAAAAGATCGTTTTTAGCTTCTCAAAACCCATCAATGGTATCAGAGCTTCTTTTACAAGTTAGCAATATTTATTTAAGTGTATTGTAACCTTTGGTTTTGCAAAAATATGTTTGGTATTTCATTTGGCAAAGCAATCACCAAATATATTTTCTATGGAAACTTGTTGTTTTTATAATTGTTATTTTTATGCAACCAATTTTTTCATGCATTTGGTTGTATAAAGTTGTCTTAGAACAACAAAGTGTTTGTTTGTATATTTCATTTGATTTTGTTGCATGTAAACAAGCCATTATGATCATTATGTTGTGTTTGGTTGATATCTATTTATTCTGAAGATGTAATAGATAAATAAGTATTTTTTTTCTCATTTGTTTATTTTGTATGTAATAAATTAGTTACATGTTGTATTTTTTTTACCAAATGTAACAAGTTGAAGAAATGACTACCTTGAAGATAACTTAACGACATGAGACTATAATCTCAACCTTGAACTTCTACTCTTGGTTTTGGGCTTAATTGTAATCTTAATGATTTTTAGTGTCATGATCTCTACAACACATGGTGCCTTTAAGTTCTTTTTCAAGCAATAGTTGTCTTGGCAAATGGGAGCTTGAAGACCTTTTAAAGTGTCATTTAAGTCTTTAGGAGTGACTTAATAATTCGTATCTTGGCTCACAAAAATTATTACTAAATAATGGTTTGGTTTGTACGCTTTTAATGAATGCTTGTAATGTTTATTTTTATGTTGTTATATGTTATGTTTTATATATGAAATGGTTTTTACATGTTAAATAATATTTTTTATAAAATAACATCACTTAAAGTTTGTGAAATAAATATTTAAAAATTAACATAAAATGTTTATAAATAAGTTTTTATTATAGCGTTTTAAAATGTTTAAAATTAATATTTTATTAAAAATAAATTTTATTTTAAAACTTTTAATAGCCAAACTTTAAAATATTTAAAATGATTTGAAATTTTATTTAAACTATGTCTAAACTGAAACTCCATGTCTTTTATAATAAATAAGAGTTTTATTAAAAGAATTAAAAACCGGTTTATAGCGCCATAACATCAAACTATAATACTAGGTATTATTTTTACGTCAAAACATTATATATGACATTAATTTTTAAAATTTAACGCAACATTTTATATTATGTTTTATGCATGCTAAATGAGATTTAAAACATAGTTATCATCACATGGTTTTGGTTTATCAAAATATGATTTTTTTTTTAAATAAGATGTACAAAATGAGACTTACTCTACAAATTCATAAGGTCGTAAGATTTTGATTATTAAATAAAGATTTTAAATTGTGATTTTAAAACAAATCCAAAACTCTGAGTCTTAACTATATAATGGATTTTTATTAAAAGACTATAATCGGTTCTTCAAACGCTCTACGACTAATCCTTAAATATAAGATATTTGCTTAGAACCGATCGCGGCTAACAGTTAATAAAATGATTTTTTTTGGAATCTAAAGAACCTTGTATAAGAGATATGATTTTTACAAAAGGTACATGAATTATTGGATGCATTTAATATTCATGAAACCATGTTTTTATACTTATATTTGTAAAAAATATATAAATTTTTTTTCATGAAAATACGAGTCATTGCCGTCTCTTTTGAAGAACGATCGCTCGTCATTTGTACGGGGTAGCACATGGTCACCTGGTCACTTGGATTTAGTCTTATCTGTGCATTCTGGCACACAATAGTTAGTAAAAACAAAATAACCTAAGCCTATATATATATATATATATATTATATATATATATATATATATATATATATATATATGCTTAGGTTGTTTTGTTTTTACTAACTATTGTATGCCAGAATGCACAGATCTTGACCACCGGATGGAATAGAATCAAAGGTCATGATCTGAGGTTCTATGATATTACAATGGGGTAACATGTACAATATAATCACGAATTTCAACATAAGGGCATTTTAGTCAATTGAGACAAATTTAAAAAAACAAAAATCGAGATTTATGGGATAATTAATGATTTTGATTTAAAAAATCTGATTTTTTTTTCAAATTAATTCAATTTCAAACGTAATTTGTAAGCATAAACCAATTTTATTCTATCAGAATGTTATTTTGTTATAATGATATTCTGTAATTCTGTCAGAATGGTATACAACTATGAACATAATATTATAAACACATATTATCAAGACCAATAATTTTCAACGAATACAAATTTTATATAAGACGAAGTTTAATAGTTTAGAATAAGTAATTACATTCATTCTTAAAGAATACAACTATGAACATAAATTATATTCATTCTTGAAATCTCTTGCAAAAAAAATATCTGCATTCTTGAAAGAATCCTCGTTCATTTTCTTGTTTCATTCCTAGATGTCTTGTGTATGTTTGACCTCTAAGCCACTTCAAAATATGCTAGCATTCTATGAGATTGACATTTTGTGATATTGATATTTTGTCAGAATTGTATTGTATGCGAATGATTTTATACAAGGAGCTGCAAAAGGAGATAAACTCGAGGATGGTAAGTGATCTCCAGGTAAAACTTGAAACATCTGAAAAACATAAGAAACAAAAATCATGTTAAAACATCAGCCAATTGCAATACAACCCTTGCAAAATCATTCTTATGTGATTATACATTAATCATTCTTATGTGATTATACCGGAAATACAATTCTGGCAGAATCATTCTTATGTGATTCTCCAAGATTATAATACTCTCTACACATTATTCAAATAGAAGAATACATTAGATACAGAATATTCTTGAAGAATGAAATAATTATTCTTAAAGAACGAAACAATTGGAGATAAGAATAAACACCCAATGATGAGGAAAGAAAGTCATTCTCACAAAATTAGCTTAATTAGCTTAAAGGTAATACACTATAAAATGCATTCAAATTTCACAAAAATAAGCCCATTTTAAAATACAAATTAATACTAGCAATAAGGAAAGAAAAGGCTAGAGCAGGGCCAAAATGTTCTCTAGAAACTATACCTTCAATAATGCAAACCCCAGCTCTAATCGTCCAACCAACACCTGATATATTTCATAATTGAAAAATAATTTCCTCTCTTTCAATATTGAAAGAAAATGAGAGGAATTCTAAATTTAAAGTATGATAGAATAACATAATTCTCTATTTTGATGTTGTTTACCTTTGGAGATGAGATGCACAGAAATAAACATTCCATCACTAACCATGAATACAATCTGAGACTGCCATATTTCTCTTTGGCATTTCATCAAACACTTTAAGGGCGCTCCCTAAATCACCACATTTTCTATGAATCATGAATGAAAAAAAAATTCCAATTCAGAACCATCAACATCAAATTCATATGAACAACAAGATATTTCAACACCGTTATAAAAATCTAAAACTAAAAGTTGAAATTGTAGAAATTGGCTAGTTGGAAGAACGAAGAAAAAAACATGTTTTCTACGGAATGGAATTGCAAGTCTGGTAAATGTACAGAAAAAATTAATAATACTCAAAATTGAACTGTTGGCGCTACTAATAGTTGACCTTTCAGAGTAAAGGCTCAAGATTTCATTAAAACATTCATCAATGATCAAGAAACAAGTAAAAGATCGAAAATTCATAGTAAAATTGAGTATAAACTAACATAGAAAGAAGCAATCATTGTTACTTCCACAAGAATGCATATAGACGAGTGAATATAATAGCGAATTGATACTGTAAAACAATTGGTACTTACAGGTCAATGACTGATATCCATTTGAGAGTGGAGTAGACAGATTCTGGATCACCCTTAGTGTACGATTCTTTCACGGCGACACGAAGCTTTTTAGTCGGGTCTTGATCGGATTTAATGACGCCGATGTAGACACACCCGCAACCACCTTCGCCGATCTTTGCTGATCGGCTGAAGCCATTAGTGGCCGATTTGAGTTCGGGGAAAGTGAAGACTCGAAGATTACTTGGTTTCTGAGAAAAACTAGGAACATTAGACCTTCTGTCGATCTATGAAAAAGAATAAGCCTCGTTGATATAAGACATGATATAAGAGAGAGACTGGGTCAAATATATTTATTTTATTTCCATAATTGCAAGATTTCAATTAAATGATCCCTTAATTAAAAGTACAAAAGGTCCAAAATACACTTAAATGATTTATTTAATTATTTATTATTTCTTGAATTTTCATTGGTGCATTTAGGAAAGCAATTGTTGCTAGAAACATTTGAACTACGTCGCTCGCCGCTATCTCTCTCTCTCTCTCTCTCTCTCTCTCTCTCTCTCTCTCTCTCTCTCTCTCTCTTATATATATATATATATATATATATATATATATATATATATATATATATATATCTATATATATATATAGCAATTAACTACTTTTCAATCATAAATTTGACAATTACGTGCATAAGCAATTAATTTCTTTATGAATATGGATGAAATATTTGTGCTATATTGATATATTCTAAAGAAATATTTGACATTTAAAATGACATTAATTGTACCAACTTCTATATAAGAATCCTAAAGAAAATTAGAGAGCATTCATCAAAGAGGAGACTACATAGTTCCATATACATTGAACCACTATGAAAGTTTTCTTCGCATTTCTCTTTGTTATAGTTATCATCGCCCGATCTGTGTGGGGTATTCGTCTAGACACTAATTTTCAAACTAATACTCTTAAGCAGTATAACATTTCGATCAATGACGTTGGACTTTGGGCTCTTGGATTTGAATGTGAGATAGAAGGTGGCGAAAGAGTATCTCGGTTAATCAATCCTGGAGATGAATCTCTTTTTGAGTTTCATGCCAACGATGGTGATGCTACATTTGTTCCTTGTGATTTCTATTGGAGTAAAAATGATAGGAATATCCACGTCTATGATGATAGCCTAAAGAAACAATGTGGCGATGATTTGGTTAATACATGTAAGTGGAAGATATCAAGTGATGGATTTTATGTTTACGATATTAGTCAAAATCCACCACATTTTGTGAAAATGTATGATTGGTGATTAGGTTTTGCTATATAACACCTATAAATGATACGCAAATAATATGCATTCTAGTAAAGTATTTCAAGTGATTATATATATCTATATATATATATATATATATATATATATATATATATATATATTATATATCTTAATATATATAGAAAAGTTAAATAGAGAAACCATAATTATTGGTTCTCCAAAGAACCAAATTTTTTTTTTCAAGTTTTAGAGCTTATTCTTTATCGAAAAAAAACTAAAAATATCTAAATTCATAACATAACATTGTGAATGTTAAATATATTTTCGGATTCACCGTGTGAATTTAGATTCACATTGTGAATTGACGGAAAAAAAAATTTCAAATTTGATATCATTGGAAAAAGAATAAAAAGTTATGAATTTCGGTTTTAGTTTTTTTTTAATTAAAAAATAAGTTCTAAAAGTTGAAAAAAAAAAAGATTGGTTCCTTGGTACTTGGTTAATTATGGTTCTCTATTGAACCTCACCCCTATATATATATATATATATATATATATATATATATATATATATATATATATATATATATATATATCTATATATATATATATATATTATAAAGTATATTAATCATATCTTGAATTTTAAAAGGTATAAGATACAAAGCTTTTTGTACGAATCAATCCAAAATTTGGAAGAGTTGAATTAAGAAAGGTTATCAAAAAATTAATTTGGACCAAAATGACAATTTTAAAATATTAAATTTATCAATATAAATTAATTTATATTTCTTAAACTAGACACTGATAATAATTTATTTATGTTAAATGTAATCGGATGATCATGTGGTATCATATGTGTAATCGGACAAGGCTCGTGTTGTGAAAGTGGCATAAATTTTAATTTGTTGGTCATTGCTAATTCTTGCTGTCTGTTGGTAATCCGTCGAATATGTTGTTGTGCGTCACTAAATCGTTTTTATCCGAAATTTTAAACAGTTTTTACTTTTCGTACAAAGCCTTCAAAGTCAAGCTATCATCCTTGCCCCTAGTTTTCTAAAGACACATTTAGGTGACACATATATGTAAAATTTAATCAATCAGATGGTATTTATAACATAATAAAGTATAAATAAACGATTATAGATAGTGAAATTATTTTGGAAAGGATCATCAATTATTTATCTAAAAGGGGATATAATTACACAAATCCATTACAATAAACGGATTTTCACATAGATTACAAAACATTTAAGTAATTAAAATCTATAAAATACAAAATTAGATATTCATTTAATAACAATGAATAGAGAAATTAAATTACCTTCAAACTTTTATGCTTACAAATATTCTTACTCACTAACACTATGACACGTGTCATTATTCTACCATTCAATTTAATTTTATTTGATATATTTGTAATATATACTTTTAATGAGATTGTTAAGTAAATATGGAATAGTGATACATGCCATAATTTTAATGGGTAAGAATAAATATAAAAGTCTTCCAAATAAACAAAACATAGAACAATCATATATCTACTATAATAAATGTTATTTTTTTTGCTATTGATTTCGCCACATGTTATTATGTGATTTTTTTCAATTAATTTTTTTTACATTATATTTTATGTTTTCTTTCCATTTAATTAATTACAATAGTATTTATAAGCCAAATAAACTTTTCTTTCTTGATGTAATAAATGACTTTCAATTTTAAAAACCAAACAATTGACTCAATTCACTTAAAATTCAAATTTTTCATATTTAATTTTCAATTTAATATAATAATTTATTAGTTTAAATATATTATTAAAAATAATATATTATTTTATTATTGGTAGATTTTCAAAATAATTATTACAATAAATTTCTTTTTATTTTAGATATTATGTTAAATCCAAAACATAAATTATATTATTAAATTAACATATTATATATCTATATATATATATATATATATATATATATATTATATATATTGTTTTTCAAAATAGTAAAAAGGTTTAAATGTTGTAAACGTAGAACAACAATTCAAATTAAATAATAATTATCAAAAAAACAATTTTTATTATAGTTTTATTTCTTTGCAAAGAAGTGGTTTTTACTGAATTAATATAAACAAATTACATTGCATTAACTTACAAACAATAGTTATATATCAATTAACCATCATGATCAACATTAAAAAGAAAAATCAATTGATGAGCAATTTCTAAATAAACATTACAATGTTAAATTGTAGTACTAAATCGTAAACAATATTTAGTTTATTTAGAAGCAAATCGTGAGTAGACGTTATTGAATTATACGAGTATATTATCTACCTATAATTGTATGTTATATGATAACAATCTTCTCTTATTACTTAATTTTCTTTTATTATTTAATTGAAGTACTTACTTATTTATCATTAGGGTCATCTTTAATTTGAATTTTTATTTTAAATATATCTAATGTTTAGACTTTCATGTATAACTTTTTGTTTTAATCAACATGTGTAGTACACGGGTCTCGTAGTTAATCTAGTCAATATTTAACATGCATTTACTATGTTACAAGTGTTACACCTATTACCATTGCAACATACACCAATGTGATCATGTTCGGTGGAGTTTATTCAGCCTTCGGAAGAAGATAACTCCTTTGAGACCTAAGATCACACTGTAAAGGACAAATGTATTCCAAAAAGGGGTGAAATTAGTGCGAAATAAAATATCTATTAAAGTCAAATTATTTTATCTTAATTTACGAATAAGTCTTAAACTAAAAATTGTTACGAAAAAATATAAATTACCGGTAAAAATAAAGATTTGACATTTTTTCCTGTTAACACACATTTTACCGTTTTCATTGTTGACATGGATGCTTAGTCATTAAAAGAGCTTGGGAAATCTCCATAAAGTCTCAGTTTTACCCTAATTTATGAATAAGTCTCTCGATAACACACATTTTACTAGTTTATTGCTGACACGGACGCTTAGTCATTAAATAAACTGATGAGATAAATATGATCAAACAGTGAAATCTAAGTGTCACCACTAATAAACCTTCAGACGATATGTAGGGTAAGTTGCGTGATTCGTACCGAAAAGATAATTATATATTACGAACAAGGTTTTAATGTACCCAAAGCATGCCGCGCCAAGCGAACTAAGCCCGACGGAACCTAGCATCCGTCAACGCCCCTATAAGCAGGGTGCTTGCGGAGAAGGCTCTGCCCCGCCAAGGGCGCCTTCCACTCTGGGACAAATGTAACGGCCTCGGGCGACAAGACAGATTCTCAGAGCATTACCGCCTGAACCAATTGTTGGCTCTGATAGATTAAGGAGCACAATCTTTCAATCAGCGTCCCCGATCCTATAGGGTCTAACGCCCTTGTCCAGTACGGACTAGCAGAAGGACTCAGTATAACAGGCCACCTAGGTGCCTTGGATAGTAAGTCATCTTCTCCCAGTTCACACACAATACAATCCCAAGTCTATCTACTGACTTGACCATCGGACCCGGGAGCCTCCTCCCGGAGAACGGTTGACGATCCTTTCTCATTGTGACCTACATGTTCATCGGAGTCATCACAAGCGTACGACACTACCGTCCGGGAACCATGTCACATCATCTAGTGTCTCCGATGTCCCTTGAGCATAAAAATGGAGTCTTGATGGATTACTTTCAACCATAAAAGGGTTGAAGCTAGGTTCATGAAGTTAGTTCAAGATTTGACTCATTTAAGACATGCAAAAGCATAAAGTTTGCAACTTTCTGGCATATGGCACTCTAATAAGCTTAGATATAAAATTTAGATCTTAACTGATTAAGACCTTGAAGATAGACTTTGGCCAGCTACAGTGTAGGTCGGGCGTACCTAGTTGTACACTGCGCGTACATTCATGAAGTCTCATGGGTGCGAAGGTCGTGAGTACGTTGGGCATACTGGAAGTACGCTGAGCATACTCACCATAGGGGGAGCTTGGGCTTTATTTCGGGCCGTTTTGGGATTTAAGGACTTTGGGCCCTTGTTGGGTCGTGATTTTTTCTGTGATAGGCTTTTAGACTTGGACCCATTTTTGACTTGGCATATCTTTTGGGCCTTGGGTCTAATTGTATGTGGGCCTTGGTGGGTTAGGCCCAATAAGACAATAATTAAGTAACTTTTCCCTTAAAGCTAGAGTTTAGAGTTTGGACCCTTGTGGTGGGTTATTGACCTAATTTCTAATTAGGGTTTATTTTACTTCTGATTTAGAGTGAGAGGATTTTGCGAGTCAACGGCTCGAGTGTGATTTGATACCTTCAGTCTGAGGTGAGTTTCCTTCACTATATCTTTGGGCCGAAGGCACCAATTCCGGCCCACTATATTATGTTTGTAGTATGAGGATTGTCTTCGTGATAGTTGCTTGTAATGCCTGTATTCGTTTGATGTCTCTGTGACTCTTTTGTTATGATTATATATGGTAGTGGTAGGGTGAAATAGACCCGATACCGGTTGAAAGAGACCGAAGGGGTTGAAATATACTCAGTACCGGTTGAAAGAGACCGAAGGGGTTGAAATATACCTAGTACCGCTTGAAAGAGGCCTGAAAGGTTGGAAAATACCCAGATATGTTTGACTGATATGTATGTATGTAATGGGATATTTTTATGGAACTCGCTAAGCTTTGTGCTTACGATTTTTAGTTTATGTTTCAGGTACTTCCAGCTCAAAAGGGTAGGGCCCGGCCTGATCGCACTGCATCCAACTATGTTTTTCCGCATCACGTGATTTTGGGATTTTGTACTCTGATATTATTTTATTACAATATACCCTCGACTGTTTTGATATGATTATCGTATGATCAGAATGAATTTAAAAATAAAAAATTTATCTGAATTTTTGGGGTGTTACAATTTGGTATCAGAGCCTTGGGTTGAGGGATTCGGGCATACTCTCGGGTGTACCTGAACTCAAATCGAGGATTTGGTAGATTTTTCAGAAAAATAAACATTTTTAACTAAGGAAATTTTATAAAAGAAAAGGGGTGTGATGCGTGCAATCAGC